TCAGATTGATAGTCGATTCAACTAGGTGCTCAGCACATTTGCCACCCGCAGCAACGCCAATGTCAGCGGCCATCTTCTAATTCTGTTTTTTTTTTTCTTTCTTTTTTTTTTTGGTGTGTGGAGAGACAGGAAACAGAAGAACAAAGGCTGATAATGATAGGAGGGTGAGCTGATTTTTTTTTTTTTTTTTTGGTGTGTGGAGAGACAGGAAACAGAAGAACAAAGGCTGATAATAATAGGAGGGTGAGCTTTTTTTTTTTTTTTTTTGGTGTGTGGAGAGACAGGAAACAGAAGAACAAAGGCTGATAATGATAGGAGGGTGAGCTGATTTGTATAGAGGGATGAAAACTGGTCAGAATTAGAGAGACACAAAGCAGAAGAACCAAATTAAACAAAGGTGAAAAATGAGAATTGTAGGAGGAAGAGCAAATTTGTGTACAGGGATGTGAGGTGAGGTGAGGTGAGGTGCAGAGTCATGATCAAAAAGAAGAGTTGAGCAAAGACGATGAAGCGAACAAGTCAGGATGAAACAAATAAAATTAAATGGGGATAATTACTGAAATAAATGGTAAAAATAGTGAAGAGATGAGGTTATTTGTGAAAAGGGAGGTGAGTTGAGGGGGCAGAGAGTAGCAGAAGATGATAAAAAGGACTGAACAGAGACAATGAAGAAAACAAGTTGGGACGAAAGCAAATCAAATGAAATGGTGAACACAGCGAAAGTGAAAAGAGGGATTGAGCAGCAAGTTCTAGTCAGGAGGGGGATTCATGTGAAACGCCTTTTATAGCATAAATTTGCAATTTCACACCACTTGTAATCAGGTTTTAGGTTAAAGTAACATTATTTTACCAACCTTCCTCGCTTATCTTGACTTTTAGACGCAACCTATGAGACATAATTCTCATTTAATTAAAGGTCTTGTCTGCTAAATCGGGATGTGGGGATCGGTATTTAGCTGGGTTAAAATTAATCAAATATGGAACAAAGACAATGGAATAAAAGCGAATCCACGCCCAAAAACAATGACAAATATGAAATGCACATGCGCCCTTTTCTCACCACTTTTCTAAGATGCGTTTTCTATCCACTTTTTTTTTTTTCTTCAGAAAACTGACGCGTTTTCTACCTTTGAAATGGAATAAAAGCATGAGCTGGTTGCCAATAAGAAAGTTGTTCATAACAATTACTTGGTAAGGGTAAAGAGTACTTTATAGAGTTTAATGTAGAGAAATAAATAATTCAAAAAGAGAGAAAGGG